CCCATTCGTCCTAGCCTTCCTATGCGCCGAACTGAACCGACCGCACGGAGGGTATAAAGCCTAAGCCGCGACCGCCGGTCCGATACATAACCGAATAACGCAGCAGTCGATTACGTGTCTCGTCGTCGCCGCTCGTCGCTCGCTCTTCTTGTTTATATTTCGTTTTTCGCAAGAAAATTAAAGAAAATGTCAGGACGTGGAAAGGGAGGAAAAGTCAAGGGAAAGGCGAAGTCCCGTTCGAGCCGTGCCGGTCTTCAGTTCCCCGTCGGCAGGATCCATCGTCTCCTCCGTAAAGGAAACTACGCCGAACGCGTCGGTGCCGGAGCTCCCGTCTACCTCGCCGCCGTCATGGAATATCTGGCCGCCGAAGTTCTCGAGTTGGCAGGAAACGCCGCCAGAGACAACAAGAAGACCAGGATCATTCCCAGACATTTGCAGTTGGCGATCAGGAACGACGAAGAGTTGAACAAGCTCCTTTCCGGAGTGACGATCGCCCAAGGCGGCGTTCTGCCCAACATCCAGGCGGTTCTCTTGCCCAAGAAGACCGAAAAGAAGCCTTAAACTCTTTTCATTTTTTTTAAAGAAACGGACCGGACGGACGACCGCTTTACCGAGAAAAAAAAAGAAAAACAACAACCCACATCATCGGCCCTTCTCAGGGCCACTAATTTTTTTCAAACGATTAAATGCTCGCAAACTTATCTTAATGGAAAACAAACAAAAAAAAATAATAGAAAGAAAGAAAAGTACTTTATATGACACGATATCGTTTTTCGATTCGAAAACGTTAATTTTTTTCTTATTGTTCGTTCATTTTTAAGCTTTCTCTCTGTCACTTCTCGTGAATTTTACTGCAAACGTTTAAAAATACGTGATTTTAATTTAATTTTTTTCGTTTTTCCATTTTATATCGTCATTATTATTTCTTTAAAAAAAACCAACACAACCAACCATTCATTCATTCATTCATTCATTCATTATTTATTCTCGACATATAGTAAGCGAAATTTTTTATTCGTTAGAAAAATTTTGTGGTTCTGAAAAGAACCGTTTTTTTTTTTTCTCCGATCTCGTTTGTTGTCGTGGCGTATATACGGAAAAGTCAAAGAATCAAAATCACCGACGATTAAATTTCTTGCTATTGCAAAAAATTAACCGCCGAAACCGTAGAGGGTGCGTCCTTGACGTTTCAAAGCGTAGACGACGTCCATGGCGGTGACGGTCTTACGTTTGGCGTGTTCGGTGTAGGTGACGGCGTCACGGATCACGTTCTCGAGGAACACCTTGAGGACGCCTCTGGTTTCTTCGTAGATCAACCCGGAGATACGTTTCACACCGCCGCGACGGGCCAATCTTCTGATGGCCGGTTTCGTTATGCCCTGGATGTTGTCGCGCAGGACTTTGCGATGACGTTTCGCGCCACCTTTTCCCAAGCCTTTGCCTCCTTTTCCTCTACCGGTCATCTTGGAATATCTTCGAAGAAGCTTGCGAGAGACGTGGATTCAGAACGGTGTTCGAAAGGGAACTGCGAAAATTACGAAATTCGGCGTCGTTTTATAACGTTCCCGAGCTACGCCCATTTCTGGTCCCGCTCGACCAATAGACACGCGCAGAGAGCGACTTTGTAGCGGTGAACGTTATATAAGGTTCGCCGCGAGCCTGTCGGCCATTCTCGATCTGCGCATCGACCTGGCAGTATGTCTGTCAGCACGCGGTCCAAGTCACGTCGTCGCACCGTCACGATTCGTGCAACGTCGCCCCAGAGAGCTCCACCAGCAACAGAAGATCAAGCCGACGCCAACACGCAGCGAACCGGTGAGTCCAATTCAGTTTGTTCAGCTTCAGCTTCCTCCGCTTGTAGCAGTCCTTCGGGACGCGCTTCCCCTGCATCCACAGCCATCACGAACAACACCATGCACTCCAAATCCTCCACAGCATCCTCGTCAGCCTCCGCTCAAACGGTGAAACTCAGGTTTCATCTCAAAAATATCCCCGAAAAAGTGGCCCAACAAAAAACATTCTATAATCTCCTCGTCACCCATCTTAACGTGCGAGGAATCCACAATTTAATCATCAACCCCAACAAGACCGGCCTTCTCGTCCTCACACAAATTCCTCCTTCTGACCTTCTCCACAAATTAAAAACCGCCACCGGCAGCAACATCGAGCTTATCGCGCTCAACTCCCCCAAAATGCCCCGACCACCATCCGAGAAAAAACCCGCCGTCTTCTCAGTCGTCATTAAATCCGTCGACTTAGGCACTAACGAACAGGACATTAGGGCCGAACTCGACCGCCGCAACCTCCCCTTCAATTTAATTTGGCGCATTAAGTCCAAAAAAACCAACCAATTCACCTCTCTCATAAGAGTGACATCTTCCGACACCACCACTATCGATTCCTTGCTAAACCAAGGAATCACCCTATTCGGACGACACCACCAGTGTGAACGGTCCCACCCCCCAACCCCCATCCCAGTCCAATGTTCACGTTGCTTCCAACGTGGGCACGACAACACCAACTGCCCCAACCGCCTCATCTGCCCCACCTGCCCTAACAACCACCCTCCCGGCAAATGCCCAACAACCGACCCCAAATGCCCTTTCTGCAAAGGAAACCACCCCGCATGGTCACTAAAATGCCCCAATTATAAGGAGTTCGCCGTCACCGACGAAACCCCGATAATGCCCCTCCACATCATAGACCCCCCCGAACTCTTCGCCGACCCCGTCGAGTCACCCGACACAGTCGCTCCCCCAGATCCCAGCATCATCCACCCCAAACAGCTCGTGGCCTACCTCACAGTTGTCCTCATGGACTTATTCCCCCTTCAACGCCCCCATATCCAAGGAGTCATTGAAAGAACCTCCTCATCGTTCTTAAACCTCAGAACGAACATCAACCCGTCTGGCAACAGACTCCATTTCACCTTCGATGGCTAATCTAACAAACGTTTCTCAGCGTGCTGGCGACTCCAGCCAGCACGCCGCCACAGCCCCACTCCCCACCCCCGTGCCTAATCCAGTGCAGGACGCCCCCCATCCCATCAATATCTCCACCGTTAACATCGACGGAATAAATCGCAAATACCACTCTCTTAAACACTTCATCGAAACCGACCAAATTCAAATCCTGGCACTAACGGAAACAAAAACTTCCCGCCAAATAAAAATCAACAATTTCACAACCTATCACCGCCCCTCCAATATCCGAAACGCTCGAGGAACAGCACTGCTAATATCATCTAAAATACCTTCCTCGCCCCACATTCTACCAGACAATCTCGCAGACCTCGAAGCCACTGCCGCAAACGTCTTAATCCACAACCTCTCAATAACCATAATTTCTTATTATAACCCTCCGTTAGAAAACATATCAACCCCTCTGCTGCGATATTTCTCAAATCTTCCAAACGCCATCCTACTTGGTGACTTCAATGCAAGACACAAAGACTTCGGCGATCATAATTTCAACAGAAATGGCATCACATTAGTCAATAACCTCATTAACCTCCCCATCTACCGCACAAAAAATCGCCAACCCACCTTCATAAACCACCACGGCTCTTCAATTATCGACCATATTCTCGTTACCGAGACACTAACCCCTTTAATAAACGATACCTGCACAATAGGCACAACAGTAACCTCCTTCCACCAACCCCTAACAACCCAAATTCTTCTGCCCGCCCCTCCTCCACCCCCAACATATGTACCCATATTCGACTTTAAACACGCCGACTGGCAAAAATACAAAAAACACATCGTAGAAAATCTCCCACAAATCAATCCAACACGCGAACCGGAAACAATCGACAATCAAGTCACACTTTTAACCGACATAATAACACAAGCAAAAAACACTTCAGTAAAAATCAAACACATCCCAAAAGACAAACGCCCGCTCCCCGAAAGAATTCTAAATTTAATCAAACATAAACGTAAACTCTTTCGAACATTTGTCAGAACTCGCGACCCCTTCATTAAAACACACTTCAATCGCCTCAATGCACAAATCCGCCGCGACATCAACCAGTACCGCGAAGAGCAATGGTCAAACACGTGCGCGAAACTTGATTATAGAAACGGGAAAGAGTACTGGAACACCTTCAAAACACTAACCGGACAAAAACCACAAAAAACACACTACCTAAAACACAACGGTACATTCCTAACCTCCCACCAAGATCAAGCAAACCTTTTCGCGGAAACACTTCAAGCAATCCATTCAACTCCACAAAACCCCAACTTCAACCAAAATTTCTTTGACAAAGTCTCCCAAGAAGTCCAAGATTTCCGCGAAAGCCCACCCAACTTTGCGTCACAACCCGACGATGACCTATCAAACCCAACATCTCCAGACGAAGTCTCATCCTTTATCAAAAGTCTAAAAAACTCCAAAGCCCCCGGCCCCGACGAAATAAAAGCCATCCTCCTGAAAAATCTCCCCGAACCCGCAATAATTGCCCTAACTACAATCTACAACAGCTGCATATCCTCCTCCTACTTCCCAAAAGCGTGGAAATCCGCATCAACGATCATGATCCCTAAACCTGGCAAGGACAAATACGACCCCTTATCCTATCGCCCAATTTCTCTCCTCAACATCATGGGCAAAATCTTTGAAAAAATCCTTGCATCACGTTTAGCCCCATTCCTCGAAACACACAACCTTCTCCCAGACCAACAATTCGGCTTCAGACCTCAACGCTCCACCATCAACCCTCTAATAGAATTCCACACAGACACCACCAGACACTCAAACCTCAAAGAGTGCACAGCCGCAGTCTTTCTAGACATAGAACGTGCTTTTGACAAAGTCTGGCACGACGGCCTAATCCATAAACTCATCTCCCTAAAACTCAACCCCGCTTTCATCCTGCTTATGGACTCATTCCTAACTAACAGATCCTGCAATGTAAAAATTTCGAACACCAAATCTAGAAAAGTTAGCATAGACGCCGGGGTCCCCCAAGGCTCCGTGCTCTCTCCCACTATGTATTTGATTTACTGCAGCGATTTTCCCTTTTCAGACAACACACGAACCAAGACCAGGATGTTCGCAGACGACACGGCCTTCTGGTCGTCCAACAAATGCCCCACCCGAGCCGCCGCCAACATCCAGCATCTACTCCGAAAATTCGAGGAATGGGCCAACAAATGGAGAATCTCACCCAATCCCAAAAAATCCCAATCAATCCTTATATCCTACCCGCATGCCATTCCCAAACAATACGCTTTCTCCCGAACCAAACTAACACTACACAACCAACCCATCCCCAAACAAAAAACCATCAAATATCTCGGTATCACCTTCTCCCAAACCTGCTCCCTCCTCGCTGACCTCGACCTCACCCTAAAAAAGATCCGAAACCGAGCCAACCTCCTATACCTAATCCGCGGCCGCATCCGCGGCTGCAACACCGAAACCCTGCTACACACCTACAAATCCTTCATCCGGCCCGTCATAGAATACCGAGCCCCTCTTTATGCCTCCCTTTCCCAACGAATTCTCAATAGAATCCTAGCATGCGAACGAAAAATCCTACGCAGAATCCTCAAACTAGACTACAAATTCCCCTCCTCGCATGTTCACACCACCGCCAAAACTCCCACTATCGCTTCACGACTAACCGAACTCCAACAGAAATACATCCACCGCACCCTAAACTCCACCAACACAATAGCCATCCAAACTCTTCACACTTCCCACAAATACCCAACTAACAATAACCGCCTCCTAAACCGCATTCCCAAAATACCCAAAACCAAGCACAAACACCCCCCAACAGCCCTACTATCCAAACTATACCCAAACCTACCCGAAGCCCTCCAGTCCATCGTCGAAGAGACTCCCTTCTCTCTGAGATGAACCACCTCCCTCCCAAGGACCCGACCCCAAGACCACTGTATATTGTAAATATTGTAAATAAGCTTATAACCACTATCCAATTTTTCAATTTTCAAATACTTTTCTATCTAGTAATAGCTCTAATTATAGGAATGAAATGTAAATATCTTAAGGACTCTATGTAAACTTGTGTTGAAAAGGCCCTAAGCCTCAGCAGCACCACATATGATTGTTATTAGACTAAGAACCCCCACTGTAAAACCCATATTATAAATAAAAAAAAAAATGTATTTGTTGTGTTGTGTTGTTGTTGCCTGTCGGCCGTTATTTCCAGTCAACGTGTTCGTAACGTCCGTCTGCTGCGTGTTCGTTCGTCGATCGATTTTAATCTTTCGCTTATTTTTTCGAAATGGCAAGAACAAAACAGACCGCTCGTAAATCTACGGGAGGAAAAGCCCCCAGAAAACAGCTCGCCACTAAGGCCGCGAGAAAAAGCGCACCGGCGACCGGCGGCGTCAAGAAACCCCATCGTTACAGGCCCGGAACCGTCGCTCTCCGAGAGATCCGTCGTTATCAGAAGAGCACCGAACTTTTGATCCGCAAACTGCCCTTCCAACGTCTCGTCAGGGAGATCGCCCAGGACTTCAAGACCGACTTGCGTTTCCAGAGTTCCGCCGTGATGGCTCTCCAGGAAGCTAGCGAAGCTTACCTCGTCGGTCTCTTCGAAGATACCAACTTGTGCGCCATCCACGCCAAACGCGTCACCATCATGCCCAAAGACATCCAGCTGGCGAGACGCATTCGCGGAGAAAGAGCTTAAAAAAAAAAAATCGACCGACCATCAATCACACCGTCATCTCTCAACTGTCAGTTCTCTTTTCGAAAGAGACAAAAAAATCGGTTCTTTTCAGAACCTCAATATTTTTCCTAACGAATAAAAAATTAAGCAACTTTTTCGAGAATCGAATCGTTCGAAAACTTAAATAAAAGATAAAAAATTAAAATTAAGGCATGCAAATTCATTCATTCATTCATTCAAATCAATCGTATCGATCAATCAATCATTTATTTCATTCATTCATTATTCGAATATGGGTTGAGCGAAAATTTTAATTCGTTTGAAAAAAATTTGTGGCCCTGAAAAGGGCCATTTATGCGTGCCCCTTCGTCGATATGTACGATCGGAGCACCGCCGGGAAACAACAACAACGACGTCGTCGTCATCATCTTCTTCGAACGCTCACTTTTTTCTTTTCGGAGAAGCGGCTTTCTTCGCTTTGGCGGAGACGGCCTTGGTGGACTTGGGTTTCGGAGCTTTCGGTTTCTTCGTGGGTCCGGCCTTGTTAGATCTTTTCGCTTTCGAAGGAGATTTCGCCTTCGACGCCGCTCTGGCGGCAGCGGCGGCGGCGGCCTTCTTCTCTGCGGCGGAGGCGCTGGCAGCGGCGGCGGCGGCCTTCTTCGCTTTGGCCACGGAAGCGGTCTTCTTTTCGGCGGCGGCCTTTTTCGCTTTCGGCGCGGTCTTCTTCGAAACCTTAGAAGCCGCCTTCTCGCCGGCGGCGGCGGCGGCTCCGGCGGAAGCGCGTTTTCCCGCGCCAATCGCGGCTTTCTTCGTCCTGCCGGCGCCGGATTTCCTCTTCCTTTCGGCGGCGGAGGCGGCGGCTTTGGCACCGCCGGCGGTCGTGGAGGCCAACTTGAAAGAACCGGAAGCACCTTTGCCTTTCGTCTGGACGAGGGAACCGGAAGCGACGGCGCCTTTCAGGTATTTCTTGATGAACGGAGCAACTTTTTCGGCGTCGACCTTGTAGTTGGCGGCGACGAATTTTTTGATGGCCTGGAGGGACGATCCGCCGCGTTCTTTCAAACCTTTGATGGCGTTGGTCACCATCTCCGAAGTCGGCGGATGGGAAGGTTTGCTCCTGGGATTCTTCGCTTTCTTTTCCTTCTTGGCGTGAGGCGTTCCGGCGGAGGAGGCGGCGGCCGAAGCTGTCACCGCGGCGGAAGCTGTTTGATTTTCTACGTCTGCCATTTTACCGAACAACTGATTGTTTTTGTTATTAAAAAAAGTCGATGGTTATCGGTCGCACGATCGAATTTGAATAGTGGCGAAAACGACGTCTAAGTGTCCCCGACGTAAACCAAGCGGACTGTAAACTAAACGCGCGACTTTGACGGAATTCGCTCGAAATCGGCGGCCTCGCGCTCGACTTTCGGGTGATGACATCGTTCTCTTTTCGCCGTCACCACCGCCTCCTTGTCGTTAGACGGACGAAACACGGCCTCAGACCTTCCTCGACGTTTATTCGAGTATTTTTCGACGAAGCGGGAATCGGCGAATCGGCAGGGCGTCCGTCCGGACGCTCGCTCGAAGAAGACCTTGTCAAAAGTCGAACAACGTACCGAAGGTGGACGTCGACGCTCCGACGTCCGTCGTCGCCGCCACCGTGACGACGCTTCGACGAGGTGAGCCTCCGTCCATGCTTTCCGGTTTTTTACACCCTCGGGGACGATCGGAAGACGTTTTCTCGTCAAAAAACGCCTCCGAAAGAGGCAAGGTACGGTCAAAATCGTCACCGCTTCGAAGCGACTCTTCCGATTTCGACGATCTCCTGGGGCACGGGGGGCTCCTTCGACGTAGATCGTCGAACGAAAACGACGGAACGGACTTTCGGCCGTCCTCCGGTGGCGGTCTCGTCTCGGTACGAGGATGGGAACATTAAAAATTTCCATGTCGAAGGCGCGACGAGATGATTCGGTCTCGTCGTTTCCTCGTACCTCGAAACGACGAGGAAATTCGGATTTTTTTTATTTTTTTCCGTACGAGATCGATCGACGATCGAAATTGCACGTCTGACGAAAATTTCCTTGCGGATTTTTCCAAAAGTTTCTTCGTTTCGAGTGTCGTTTTCGAGCCGGGACCGAGCGCGGAAACCCGCAGCACCGCACCGACGGCGAACGAAAATTCTTTCTTCGATTCACGTACGATACGTTTTCTGTCTTTCCTGTGGCCGCTTTTCATAGTTTTATTTTCTTTTTTTTTTCCTTCTTCTTTCGAAGATCTGAAAGACTACATTCTATGGAGTTTATTTAATCTATTATTGTTTACAGACGAACGAACTTCGAACTATTTTAACATCTTTCAACTATTATTTTTTAATTCAATTCACTTACACTATTATATTATCAAGACAAGTGTTTTTCAAAGCATTCGAACCATCGAGATACGGCGAATTTATGACGGCGGTTGTTTGTAAAATATTGCAAATGCTGCTTTTTGGGTTATATTTATATATATGTTGTCCGGGACTTGTTTTTTACGTATATTTACGATTACATTCACACACAGGTGGCCAGGTGGCGGTAGTAGGGTAATTAATCCGGCGGACGAAGATGGTTTATGGTTTGTTTTTACCTACGTCCGCCGTGATTGTGCCTTATGTGCCTGGTTCGTCTCTTTGTCGGTCTTGTCGTCCTTTCCCTATCCTGTCGGTGGCATTCGTCTGTTAGTTGTACGTGCGTGATGTGCTTGTTTGTTTGTTTTGTATTTTGTGTTGCAGACCGCTGCGCTGTGCTGCGCTCCTCGATCTTCGATGTTCGTTCGTCGGATCTTGGCACTTTTGCTTCGACGTTTCGACTTCTCGGATCCATTTCTACTCATTTTTTACCCTTATCATCAGGCAACGGCCATACCACGTTGATAGCACCGGTTCTCGTCCGATCACCGAAGTTAAGCAACGTCGGGCGCGGTCAGTACTTGGATGGGTGACCGCTTGGGAACACCGCGTGCCGTTGTCTTCTTCTTTTTGTTAAACTTTAGTTTTTAGTAAAAAAAAACGATGTGTTTATTATAAGTGTGTCATAAGTTAAGCTAGTTTTTAATTTAGAATTTAAGTTAGTCGCTAAGATTTTCCACTCGCGTCCTTCGACTCGAAATTTTCAAACATTCCGCTCCCGCCAGATTTTTTGTTTTTGTTTTGCCCTATCGCGAACACCCCCCTTATTCTTTTTTTTTTTTTTTTTTTTTTTTTTAAGTCCAAAAAAAAATTTACAAGTCCAGATCAGATCGAGGTGTCGCGGAACGACACTCTACTACGTTTAAAATAAATGTATTTATGTCTGTGACGATAAAATAAAATTAAAGCACGACGAGAACTTATAAACGAACGCCGTACATGGACAACGAGATCAGAATCATTCAGGAAGACTCGAAAAGAAACGAATCGACGCTTGATCTTTTAATTTGAAATTTATTCACGCTCGATCGTGAAAATGCAAAAAAACAGCCGTTTTGTTAGGAACATGCGTTATTTATTGTACGCGAGTTCCTCGAACAGACGGCCAGTATAGATTTGCATCAGTTTCGTAATTCTGGTATTAAAATAATAATAAAAAACGCGACCGTTTTCTTCTCGATCTTATGATTTCCTGATAAAATCGATCGTAGAGAGCACAGCGCTTCGTTATGAAGAAATAAATAATATAAATTCCTTCTTGCGGCGGGGGAAAAAAAAAGAAAGAAAAAAAAAAAACAAGTACGTTCCCGTGACCTGACTTATTTACATATCGTATAAAAATCGATCGATAAAAATATATCGCTGTTTTTTAACATAGTTTCATTTCGAAAACCTCTAACCGAAATCGATCGTACGTACGTACGACGCGGACGGAATTTAAACATCGCACACCCCGAAACGAAAAGTATCATTTTATTCGTTCATTTAATAATCGAATAATAATAAAGGGGAAAGAAACATTCTCGAGGTTCGTTAATCTCTTATTTGTAAGGAATGCGATTTGTGGTTCTGAAAAGAACCGATTTGTTTGTTGTTGTTGTTTTTTTTTTTTTTTTTCCGGAAAGATGGACGACGGACGACGACAGAAATGATAACAAAATCATTCTACTTGGAGCTGGTGTACTTGGTGACGGCTTTGGTACCTTCGGAGACGGCGTGCTTGGCCAATTCACCGGGCAAGAGGAGACGTACGGCGGTCTGAATCTCCCTGCTGGTGATGGTCGAACGTTTGTTGTAGTGGGCGAGGCGGGAAGCTTCGGCGGCGATACGTTCGAAGATGTCGTTCACGAAACTGTTCATGATGGACATCGCCTTGCTCGAGATACCGGTGTCGGGATGTACTTGTTTCAACACCTTGTAGATGTAGATAGCGTAGCTCTCCTTCCTCCTGCGCTTCTTCTTCTTGTCGCTCTTCGAAATGTTCTTTTGGGCCTTTCCGGCCTTCTTGGCGGCTTTACCGCTAGTCTTGGGTGGCATCTTCGAATATTCGATAAGAGTTTAACAGAACAGAACGCAACGCTACGCTCGGTTCTCGACGAACGAATAAAAATATCACCCCGCGTGCGACTACTTTTATAACGGACCGTCTACCGACTCAGGCCACGCCCATTCGTCCTAGCCTTCCTATGCGCCGAACTGAACCGACCGCACGGAGGGTATAAAGCCTAAGCCGCGACCGCCGGTCCGATACATAACCGAATAACGCAGCAGTCGATTACGTGTCTCGTCGTCGCCGCTCGTCGCTCGCTCTTCTTGTTTATATTTCGTTTTTCGCAAGAAAATTAAAGAAAATGTCAGGACGTGGAAAGGGAGGAAAAGTCAAGGGAAAGGCGAAGTCCCGTTCGAGCCGTGCCGGTCTTCAGTTCCCCGTCGGCAGGATCCATCGTCTCCTCCGTAAAGGAAACTACGCCGAACGCGTCGGTGCCGGAGCTCCCGTCTACCTCGCCGCCGTCATGGAATATCTGGCCGCCGAAGTTCTCGAGTTGGCAGGAAACGCCGCCAGAGACAACAAGAAGACCAGGATCATTCCCAGACATTTGCAGTTGGCGATCAGGAACGACGAAGAGTTGAACAAGCTCCTTTCCGGAGTGACGATCGCCCAAGGCGGCGTTCTGCCCAACATCCAGGCGGTTCTCTTGCCCAAGAAGACCGAAAAGAAGCCTTAAACTCTTTTCATTTTT